AACATCTAGTGCTTATAGCTAATGAATCCTTCTATTCCTACCACAAAATAAAGTTAAAGAAATGCTATTTCTTTAAACAAAGATAAAATGATAGCCTCTGAACTTTTATAAATGGCATTGGTTTGTATGTACTTCATCTAAAATGGACTTGTGGATAATGCAAATGTATAAAACGTTCCCCTACCAGGAGGTACCTGATAATCATATCTATTGTCTAGAATGCCCACCCCAAAATTAGGATGCATGGATATGTAAATAATGATCAGCTCTCTTAACCATTAGCCCATTGCTGTTACTGATGGAATATGAATAATGAAGATGGAAGGGGTCTAGCTAACTACAAGAGCTGGTGCCTGTTTTTTGCATTCCCAGTGTGGTCTTTGGAAAATTGAAATGACATGGAGATACCTGCCATGCAAAGCAAGTCCCAATTTCCTTTGCATGCTATACCAACAGGTTTCCTTTAAAGTGGTTGTAAACCCTTACATATACCCAGTAAAGTGACTAGCCTCATGAGGAAACAAATCCCTCTACGTAGGTTGTACCTGTTTATCCCCTCTACATGCCCCTAGCTACATCACCGACCTCATCCACAGATACCGCCCAAATCGCCCACTCCGCTCCTCCCATGATATCCACCTCTCTAGCTCCCTCATCACACCTCCTCCCACGCTCACCTCCAGGACTTCTCCAGAGCCTCTCCCATCCTCTGGAACTCCCTACCACAGCATGTCTGCTCAGCCCCTACCCTGTCTGCCTTTAGGCGATCTTTGAAAACTCACTTCTTCAGGGAAGCCTACCCCACCTCCACCTAAGAAGTGTACTTGAATCACCTCCGCCAGATCATCCCCCGCAGTTATCACCTTTTGTATCACCTCCCCCTTCCTTTAGATTGTAACTTCCACGAGCAGGGCCCTCCTATTCCTTCTGTACTGAAATGTATTGTAATTGTATGGTCTCCCTTATATTGTTGGCGCTATATAAATCCTGTATAATAATAATAATAATAATAATAATACATCAGTTCAAAGTTCAGAATTTATTCGGCTTTCCTGAGCTTTCAGAAAGCAGGAGGTGGGGAGCTGAAATTACACACTGCAGAGCTCAGTGAGGAGAGCTGAGAGCTGATTGGAGGGAAGGGACACAGCACACATGAACAGCGCTGAGGCTGTCAATCACAGGCTATGTGTTGGAGCCCCGCTGTCACTTTTTTTCTCTCTTGGCGTCAGGAAAACTTGTCAAAACTGATTCATACTGATAGCAGAGGAATGAGACGGCAGAGAGAAATGACACTTAGTGCTCTTAACTGAGCCAAGTACACATTCTAGAGGAATATGCTTTGTTCATATTTCATGTCTGAGGTTTACAACCACTTTAAATGTCTTGATATATTTATTGCAAAATATGACAAATCATCTGAAAATTTCCAGCCTACCTTAACAAATCTCAGGCCTTTTAGAAAATAATGTTAAAAACGTTAGTCATTAATGCTGTTAGTTTCCTGCAAGACACAATTGATTTTCTGAAGATCAACAATATTCAACAATTACCACCAAATACACTTCTAGTCAGTATGGATGTAGAATCTTTGTACAGTAACATCCCTCACAAGGATGGGTTTGCTGCATATCAAAGATTCTTATCATCCTCACCAAACCATAAATACAGCTCTGAGGATGTTACATAGCTGATTGAATTCATTCTTACACACAACTACTTCGCTTTCAATAATTACATCTATCTTCAATGTATACGTACTGCTATGGGAAGTAAAATGGCACCCTAGTATGCAAATTTATTTATTGCTGACCCAGAGGAAAAATTCCTGAACAGCATACGACAAAAGCTGTACAGATACTATCGCTATATTGATGATGTTTTCATCATCATGGACAGAAGGTGAAGAAAATCTAAAACAACTTTACTCAATGATCAAGAACTTTCACCCATCAATCAAATGAAAAATTGATTATTCAAACACACATGTCAACTTCCTGGACACTACAGTATACATCAGAGATGACAAGCTGGGCACCTCAATATACAGAAAACCCATGGACAGATGTAATTAGCTACATATTTCCAGTTTCACCCCCAACACGCTAAACAGGCCATCAGATACCACCGAATATGCTCAGACCCAGAAGACATAGATATAAATATCTCAGGATACTAGCAGACTCCTTCCATGAGAAGGATTATAAGGACAAAACCATCAACACAGCATAAACACAGCCTTGAAAACTCACAGAGAATATTTACTTCAATACAAAGAGAAAAAAAAAAAAAATAACCATGTGCCTCTAGTAACCACACACAATCCAGCACTAGAAGGGATAAGAAAGATCACCAAATTTACAATCCTTCATAACAGAGGATGAAACTCTAAAATAAATATTCCAACAACCCCCAGTCCTGGCTTTTAGGCAACCACCCGACCTCAATTAGACATAAACTACCGGTAATCAACAGGAAACTTTATTCTGATCATGAAGTCACATACAGTGGGGCAAAAAAGTATTTAGTCAGCCACCAATTGTGCAAGTTCTCCCACTTAAAAAGATGAGAGAGGCCTGTAATTGGCATCATAGGTAAACCTCAACTATGAGAGACAAAATGAGAAAACAAATCCAGACAATCACATTGGCTGATTTGGAAAGAATTTATTTGCAAATTATGGTGGAAAATAAGTATTTGGTCAATATCAAAAGTTCATCTCAATACTTTGTTATATATCCTTTGTTGGCAATGACAGAGGTCAAACGTTTCCTGTAAGTCTTCACAAGGTTGGCACACACTGTTGCTGGTATGTTGGCCCATTCCTCCATGCAGATCTCCTCTAGAGCAGTGATGTTTTGGGGCTGTCGCTGGGCAACACGGACTTTCAACTCCCTCCAAAGGTTTTCTATGGGGTTGAGATCTGGAGACTGGCTAGGCCACTCCAGGACCTTGAAATGCTTCTTACGAAGCCACTCCTTCGTTGCCCGGGCGGTATGTTTGGGATCATTGTCATGTTGGAAGACCCAGCCACGTTTCATCTTCAATGCCCTTGCTGATGGAAGGAGGTTTGCACTCAAAATCTCACAATACATGGCCCCATTCATTCTGTCCTGTACATGGATCAGTAGTCCTGGTCCCTTTGCGGAGAAACAGCCCCAAAGCATGATGTTGCCACCCCCATGCTTCACAGTAGGTATGTGTTCTTTGGATGCAACTCAGCATTCTCTCTCCTCCAAACACGACGAGTTGTGTTTCTACCATACAGTTCTATTTTGGTTTTATCTGACCATATGACATTCTCCCAATCCTCTTCTGGATCATCCACGGGGTGAGATCTTGCGTGGAGCCCCAGATCGATGGAAATTATCAGTGGTCTTGTATGTCTTCCATTTTCTAATTATTGCTCCCACAGTTGATTTGTTCACACCGAGCTGCTTGCCTATTGCAGATTCAGTCTTCCCAGCCTGGTGCAAGTCTACAATTTTGTTTCTGGTGTCCTTTGACAGCTCTTTGGTCTTCACCATAGTGGAGTTTGGAGTGTGACTGTTTGAGGTTGTGGACAGGTGTCTTTTATACTGATAACAAGTTCAAACAGGTGCCATTGATACAGGTAATGAGTGCAGGACAGAGGAGCCTCTTAAAGAAGAAGGTGCAGGTCTGTGAGAGCCAGAAATCTTGCTTGTTTGTAGGTGACCAAAATACTTATTTTCCACCATAATTTGCAAATAAATTCTTTCCAAATCAGCCAATGTGATTGTCTGGATTTGTTTTCTCATTTTGTCTCTCATAGTTGAGGTCTACCTATGATGCCAATTACAGGCCTCTCTCATCTTTTTAGTGTGGGAGAACTTGCACAATTGGTGGCTGACTAAATACTTTTTTGCCCCACTGTATATGGGAGCAAACCCTGCAATAATAAAGGATGCTAACGGTGCTACCAAATGAATCCATCAAAAAGTATCACACACACAAAAAGGACCTTTAATATCACCGGATCATATAGCTGCACCTCCAGTAATATTGTATACCTGGTCCAGGTAAAATGTAGCAAAGGATCTTATGCTGGCGAAACAGGACAGAAGTTACAAACAAGGATGAACTTGCACAGACGTACCATCAAGGCGTATAAGAAAGATAGATAGTTTCTGCACATCTGTGGGACATCATTTCTCACAGACTACACTATGGAAGACCTCAATGTCTTAGTTCTTAAAGGGAATTTCAAAATTATTCAAAAGAAAGGAAAACTTTTGAATTAAGAATAATACACTATATTACAAAAATATTGGGGCGCCTGCCTTTACACGCACATGAACTTTAATGGCAGTCCAGTCTTAGTCTGTAGGGTTCAATATTGAGTTGGCCCACCCTTTGCAGCTATAACAGCTTCAACTCTTCTGGGAAGGCTGTTCACAAGGTTTAGGAGTGTGTCTATGGGAATGTTTGACCATTATTCCAGAAGCACATTCGTGAGGTCAGGGACTGATGTCAGATGAGAAGGCCTGGCTCGCAGTTTCCGCTCTAATTCATCCCAAAGGTTGGACTCTGTGCAGGCCAGTCAAGTTCCTCCACCCCAAACTCGCTCATCCATGTCTTTATGGACCTTTCTTTGTGCACTGGTGTGCAGTCATGTTGGAACAGGAAGGGGCCATCTCCAAACTCTTCCCACAAAGTTGGGAGCATGAAATTGTCCAAAATGTTTTGGTATGCTGACCCTTAATAGTTCCCTTCATTGGGACTAAGGGGCCAACTCTAACCTCTGAAAACCATTCCCACACCATAACCCCCCCCCTCCAACAAACTTTACATTTGGCACAATGCAATTAGATAAGTACGTTCTCCTGGCAACCACCAAACCCAGACACATCTGTCAGGATTGCCCAGACAGAGAAGTGTGATTCCTCACTCCAGAGAACAAGTCTCCACTGCGCTAGAGTCCAGTGGCAGCATGCTTTACACCACTGCATCTGACACTTTGCATTGCACTTGGTGGCATAAGACTTGGATGGAGCTGCTCGGCCATAGGAACCCGTTCCATGAAGCTCTCTACACACTGTTGTTGTTTTAATCTGAGGGCCACAGGTAGTTTGGAGGTCTTTAGCTACTGATTCTGCAGACAGTTGGCAACTTCTGCGCACTGTGAGATTCAGCATGCGCTGACCCCGTTCTGTCATTTTACATGGTCTACAACTTCGTGGCTGAGTTGCTATTGTTCCCAGTTGCTTCCACTTTGTTATAATACCACTAACAGTTGACCATGGAATATTTAACAGCAAGGAAATTTCACAGATGGACTTATTGCACAGGTGACAACCTATCACGGGACCACACTTGAATTCGCGGAGCTCCTGAGAGAGATCCATTCTTTCACAAATATTTGTAGAAGCAGTCTGCATGCCTAGGCACTTGATTTTATACACCTGTGGCCATGAAGGTGATTGGAACACCTGAATCCAATGATTTGGAGGGGTGTTCCAATACTTTTGGCAATATAGTGTAGTCCTACTTGACACAAAATGTAATGGCCTAAATCTAGACCTGGGTTTTCTAGAGAGCACACATTTAAGGGGCGTTTTTAATGCTCCTCAAATGCTTTTGCAGACAATACTATGGAAAGCACGCAGTGCTGTTCACATTATCAAAACATGAATCAAAACATTATCAAAATTGAAACCTCAAAACCACATATAGGGTGTTTGGGGAGCGTTTTTAACATGTTGTAAAAACTCCATTCAAATGCCCATACTACTAAAACGTATTAATGCCTGACCAACAGCCATACTAATGCTATCGGAGCGTTTGTTAAGAGTTAGAAATTTAGAAGAAGCCTTAACTATGCTAATTCAGTTACCGTTGCTGTGATTGACTTATTTTAACATTCTGCTAAAACTTTGTGCACCAGTACTGCTTCAACCTTGAAGAAGGGGATACACCCCAAAAGCTTGCCCTGAAAAATTGTATGTTAGTGCAGAAAAAAAAAGCATCACGGACAGTACTCAATTGTTTCTGTGGCAAGTATACTAATATAGCTAAAATCACCTCAAGCCTGCCTACCTTATCAAATTTCTAAGGCTCAAAGGAGACCAGTTGGGATAATTATCATACGCTACCAGAATGTGACATGGTCATGCTGGCCTCTCTTTTATCATGCAACAATGTAATTAACATCTATATCTACTAAGCCAAAAAAGAAATCAAGGAAAAAATAAAAGTAAACAGCGATATAAAGGGTATGTTTATTTACAATGCAGGATAAAGACAAACATCTGCCAGATCCAGAAATGCCAAAGAGATGGGAATAGATGGAGACAGAGACATAGGGAAAGATCTGTGTGCCTTCAGCAGTGTCACAACCAAATGATACAAAGGAATGTGACAACTTTAAGGTGTACAGACATCTACTGAGGAATATCTACCCTCTGTCATCTGTGCAGACAGTACTATTGTACTCCAAGCATTAACTCCTGGCCTTGTTACAGGGGAATCTGCTGCAGGTAGTCACATCACCGAGGCTTCTGAAAAATGCGTTTTCATGCCATATAAAAACAACCTCCTTATAAACTGGCCATACGCTGGTAGATTTCGAAATGAACTTATGCCAACAGAAACTTGTTGAACGCCATTAGAAATTACTTCAAAAATTTAATATTCGATTTTGGAGTGAATTCAATTTCCAGAATAAAAAACCACATTCACCACATTTAAAAATGTGTTAGTTTAACCACTTGCCTACCGGGCACTTTTACCCCCTTCCTGCCCAGGCCAATGTTCAGCTTTCAGCGCTGTCACATTTTGAATGACAATTGTGTGGTTATGCAACACTGTACCCATGTGAAATTTTTATAATTTGTTTCACACAAATAGAGCTTTTTTTAGTGGTATTTATTCGCTGCTGGGTGTTTTATTTTTTGCGCTATAAACAAAAAAAGAGCAAAAAATTAAAAAAAAAAGTGTGTTTCTTTGTTTCTATTATAAAATTTTGCAAACAGGTAATTTTTCTCCATCACTGATGTGCGTTGATGAGGCTGCACTGATAGGCAGCACTGATGGGCACTGCTTGGCAGCACTGAGGAGGCTGCACGGATAGGCGGCACTGATAGGTGGCACTGATGGGTGGCACTGATGGGTACTCTGGGCAGTACTGCTGGGCAGCACTGATGAGTGGCACTGATGGGCACAGGTTGGTGGCACTGAAGGGCACAGATGGGTGGCACTACTGGGCACAGGTGGGTGGCACCGATGGGCACAGGTTGGTGGCACTGCTGGGTGGAACTGCAGGGCACAGGTGGGTGGTACTGATGGGCAGCACTGCTGGGCAGCACTGATGAGTGGCACTGATGGGCACAAGTGGGTGGCACCGATTGACACAGGTTGGTGGCACTGCTGGGTGGAACTGCAGGGCACACGTGGGTGGCACTGCTGGGCACAGGTGAGTGGCACTGATGGGCACAGGTGGGTAGCACAGGTGGACAGCACTGATGAGCACTGATCATCAGGGCACCGATGATCAGTGCTGATCCTTTCACTGACAATTGCCGTGTTCTGGAATTACATCCATGGACGTCGTCCCAGAATTACACAACCGCTCTATAGCCGTCCTTCGGCTATAGCGCAGTTGGGAACTGGTTAAGAAACTTTCCATGCTACTTCTTCACATTTTGTCATCACTATGGTTGAAAATGAACAGTGATTTTATCCCACTGAGCATTAGAGAAAAGCACAAGAATTAAAAAAAAAAAATATTTAATTTTACTAGTGTGTTGGTAGGTGTAGTTTGACATTCCTGCACATGTGGCATTGCAGCAGCCACTATGCAAGGAGAGAGGACAGGAGATACTCATATTCCTCTTAGTCCCCCGTATGTGTCGTCAGATGAGCAGCTGTCTGATTGGACGCTGCTGCCCCTGATGACCTCCGCAGCCATCTTTATTTAAGGCAGTGCTTAAAAAAAGCTATGGTATGCTACAGTTGGTGCGCATTGCATGTGGCTAGGTCAGGGACAGGAACCCGCTGAATATGGAGAGTGTGCCTAGCATAGGGAGAGGTTCCAGAGGAGGAGGGACAGAATAGGAACTCTTCACCCTTGTTGAATTACTGTCTACTGTACCAGGTGCTGTCGGCATCCACATATTGCTGTCTGCAAGTGCTGCATAGCTATCTGTAAAAGTTGCTGCCAGTTTGGTACTGCTGTATAGACTCTGTTACAATGTTGTTGAATGTTCACGTTAATACACTTCCTTTCAATCTTGGATCTTCATACTGTATGTCCTTCCTTCCCCCTGGGTACCCAATACCCGGCCCTCTCCCACCCACAAGTGTATGGCCAGCATTAAACTTGGCAACCTATGAAGCATTACTTGCAAGGTTGCTCTCGACACTGGCAATAAGCCCTTCCCTCTGACATTAACCCATACCCCTTGCCACTATGACGAATTTCGATAAGTAAGCAGACCTGGCTTCATCTGCTGACCAGAGGAGTGGAATTTTAACTTTAAAGGGACACTGTCTTTCGCCCAAAAAAATCTTAATAGAAGTTCCCTGCAATAGAAGAGATATTATTATCACCTCTCTGGCAGCCTGCATCTGTCATCTTACCTATGTTCAAGCACCACAGACGTCATCAGGCAGCATTCACCACTTCTAAGAGTGTTAGGTGCCCATGCTCCCGGCCATGTGCTGTGGTTTGATCCACTAATCTACATCACTACCATACCTGGGAATGTTTGGAAATCCAAATTCCTATGATTGGAGGTTGGAGGTAGGATTGGATAGGTAGAGTATTGAACAAGGAAATGGACAGACTACTCCATCTGCTCTCATCTTCGGCATAGACAATACGCCCCACCTACCTGCGTCTCCATGCTTAAGTATCCTTCACGGTGCACGGCCTGTTCAAAATGCTCTTGTGGTGGGGCTTTGCGCCACAGCATGACACCATGCACACTTGAGCCACATTGTGTACATCTCCAGAACTGGAATTCTGGAGATGTATATGATTTCAGTAATAACCCGCAACAGGAGTGAAATTCTGACATTGCTAGATCAATTCCCAGGTATGGTCACTATATGGCATGGCAATGAAGTAGGGGGTCAGCGGAAGGGACCTAAGCATGGGGCAAGAGAAACAGGGAATTGACACTCCCAGAGCTGTTGAATACTTAGCAGCATGATGAAGGCTATAGGACCTTCAGTGAAGGTAGGAGGCACAAGTCACTGGTAGGTCAGTATAATATCTCTTATACTACAGGGAATTTCCATATCATATATGATACAGTATCTCATATTTTCTCTAAAGGTATTCTATTCCAACTATCTCTTCTAGAATCCCACTGTCGGAATTAATCTAGCTCAATGAAATGAACAGCAGAGTGCACGTACTGTCTGATGGCAGCCCCAATGTAAAGAGGCTGATTTACTAATGGAGTTGAGAAGGCTTACACAATAAATGTATGAATATTCACTTCAATTATCCAATCATGTGCAGAAAAAATAAGTAAACAGGGATTTTCAATTCATGTGATTGGAAAATTGAAGTGAATATTCACACTTTTTTTGGTTTGAATTATTTCTGAGACAAGCTGCTTTTGGCAACCAAGGTGAAAAGGCCAATGTACACCCTTCTACTTCATGGGTTGCAGTTCCTGCCCTGTTTGCACATTACTCTACTGAAGAATCCAAGGTGGCCACCTCTTCTGCCTAATTCTCAGCCTGGCTCTGATGTAAGCATTCTCAAAGGCTATATCATACATGCCAGCCTTTTTCAACCAGGGTGCCAAGGCACCCTTGGGTGCCTTCAAGTGTCTTCAGGGGTATGTTGGAAAAATGCCTAAAAATTGCCAAAAAATTGTTTACAAGTTAGCAGGTGGATTAAGCCTGCCTTTTAGTTACACAAAGCCACAAGTTTTCATTGTGTGCCATTACAACCTTCTAGCCAACATCATCAGTTGATAAGGAGGACATCAGGCACCTGCACAGCATCCTTGTTTTCCCCCTTCCTGTCCACACTAGGGTCACATTAGCTGAGTGAGGGAGGAAAACTGAGGGAGAAGAAAAACAATGGAATACTAGTCAGTACCAGTGTGCAAATGTGCGTTTGCTTTATAAGACTCAATCACCTCTAATGTTGGGTGTCCTATGTTTGTGGATGTTGCTGCGTTATGGAAAAATATTAGTTTAGATTTTTACATGTTAGAATGGGGTGCCTTGAGATTTGTGAAGATATTTAAGGTTGAGAAACACTGCTAAATACTATATTTCACAAATTAGATTAGGACTGAACTAGCCAAGCAAAAAGGTTTTATTTTTTTTCAGTAATAGCGTCCCTTTTACAGTTTTTGGTTTTGTGATAACATTTAAGTCTAGCGCAATTAAAATGACATATGTTTGTCTATTGTAC